GACAACTAAAACAGAGCAGTGTTGAAACACAGTGAGTTTGCAAATATGAAGTAAAATTTACATCCAGTTCTAGCTGGGGATTTTTTACCAAAAATTTACAATTAGTTTAAATTATTTTCAGCATGCTGAAAATAAATACAATTACAGTGGTTCAGAGAACAGTACTACACTTTAAAAATACCTAATTAACTACAGAATATTCAGGTACATTATATTAATTATGTTAAACAGAATTTAAATCTAAATAATTTCTTGAACAACAACAGTTTTATGCACAAAAAAAAAAACCAAAAACTTTACATTTAATCGAGGGAAAAAAGCATATATTAGGAAATTCTGAAGTTTTCCTTAAAGCAGATGTGAAAATTGGATATACACAAGCAGGTAGAACTCTCCTTGAAAGTAACTGATCCCCAAGCACAGGGAGACCAGACCTCTGAGAACAAATCTGCTAAGCATTCAAGAGACATATATGCCTTTTGCTGTCAAAGGTCATAAGAGCAATCATCAAGATGACCATCTTCATTTATCTATCTCAATAAACTAGACTGAAACTCTTCTGTGTGACAGCAATTGTTTGCTTCTTTTTGGTTTTTTTCCCCCCAGATATATATGCAGGTATTTTTTTCCCCCGGCATATATACTGTGCAGTTTAATTTTACCCATAGCTCAGCTTCCCCTGCCAAATATAGTTGAATGTTAACATATTTAGGTTTCATAATAATGAAAGCAAGAATGGCACCTTCAGTCTCCTTTAGTCCACAACTTCCAAATGTCTGAATTTTTGAAAGTAAGAGATCTAAATGTGGGAATTGCAGTTTATACACCCTCCGTCTCCACTGCAATGCCACAAAGAAAATGTAGCTCAGATGTGGACTTATCTTTATTACTCTCTGAAACATAAAATAAATGTTTTAAGTAGCTTAATAAAACTATTTGCACTGGATCTGTTATTTGGCATAATTCACACGGAATTTCACATCACATTCCTTTATAAAAACTAATTCTGGGCAGGATTTTGCACTCGATATTAACCGTATCTAATTTTTATGTTCCATAGCAGAGTTGAGGCTGCCCAACCAGGTCCGATGCATTTTAAATTTATTATGATTCCTATAAAGTCTCTCGAAATATGCCTAAAATTGCCTTGAAAATTTAAACAAAAGCAGATCTGTATGGGATCTGTAATTGTACTGTGCTACATGATTTAAACTGGTTAATAGTGAGCACATACTGAGCAGCTGGGAAGGAAAAGACTGTGTGCACAGAAGGAGAAGGGATAGCAGAAGGAAAGGTTAATAAAGCAAAATGTAGTTCTCTTTTCTTGCTAAAAATTACACCTCCTGTTTACTGATATCATTGTATTAATACATGCAGACAAGGCAACATACATTATATAGCGATTCCTTTAGCCATGCTATAATCCTTCTTCTGTTTTTCTTAGTATTCTTTTATGTTTTATATCCCTCCTTGTTTTGCATATTTGCATCTCCTTCCCAGTTACACAAACATAACTTTTTCAATAAATGTTGAACTGCTTTATTTAAGGTACTAAGCAAAATGACTGTCTCACCTAAAAAGTTAGAATTAAAGGTAATGTCTCAATACCCCAATATAGTATTTATGACACTTTTACAAAGAGAGTTTTCCATGTGTTAATATAACTCAAAAAATAAGAATAATATATAATGCTATATTTAAAAAAATCAGGTTCTTTCAACAGATGCCTGTAAGTGAATTAAGATTTAAAAAAGCAGCTAAACTTCATATGACTTAAAATTATTTTTTATTTAAAATATAAAATCAAGTAAAAGACCATGACATAAAGCTTCCAGAAATTTCAATATTATTGCCACTGTAAAAAAATATTTCAAGTTGTACTTACAGCTTACACATCCTTTTATTAAGGAATTCTGCAGGTAAATTATAGCATTAGCAGAAATCAAACCCAGCATATCTGCGTCCATTTTAATTCAATAAGGTTAAGTCAGCTTTTTTGATTTAGCAGATCTTAGCTCTACAGCATCATTACACCTTGCCTTGAAACTGAAGATTTTTACTAGCTCATAATGATAAGGGCTATATAGGATTTGCATGAGTAATGAGAGTCCAAAATGCGCAGCAGAGATCAGAGTTCATGGTGGGTGTCAGGCATTGTACAAATCTAAAAGTTACATGCATTTTACGGGTAATAAATAATATAGTCATTAGGAAAATTTCTTCCAAACAAAGGAGATGGAAATCTTGTGTTGGTAATTTACATAACAGCCTTCCTTAAGTAAAAAGGTTATACTTTTAATTGTACTCTTGGGGGTCTAAAAAAAAAGAAAATCTCAACCAACCTATCGCTTTCATCTTCACGTAATAAAAAGCTATGAAACAGGCTGTTAACTGAATTAAGTGTCACAAGGTCATGAAATAAAAGATCTATTTTCTTCTTTTCTTCTTTTTTTTTTTAGGAGAGAAAACAGTTTACAAAACAGAAAAAGACTTGTTCAATGAAACAATCAGCTTTAGTTACAAGTGCAAAAGTCAGTCATGTGTACTAATTCACAGTAATTATGATGCAAAGTGAACTCCTTGGAGACTTAAAAGTCAACGCCTGGCAATGGTTGGGCAAACAGCAGAGTGGAGCTACTCAGGTGATACTGACCCCTTCAAAGCCCTTTGTGTTACTGAACAACCCAAACTATCCAAGTATCTGCTTGTCCTCCCTTTCTCAGGCATTATTACTATACCATATTCACACGGCTGCTATTTAGAACATAGCAAACTAGCATGCATCCCAGCACTCAGCTCTTGCATAAGCAATAAATACGTTCCAAAGAAACAGAAGCACTGAAGAAGAAAAATTTAAATCTGTGTTTGTAACACAATCCCAGCTGAGAACTACATGTGGAACGTGGAAAGGTGATAGGGCAGGAGTCTTAGAAAATTCATCCTAGTTGTCTTCCCCTCTTTAGACTTTAACACATCATGCCCTCCTGTCTTCTTGCCTCCCACATAAGCAATTACTACATTGTGAAATGAGGTAAAAATCCAAGACTGACAATTTTCGAGCATTCAAAACTGCCCGTGCTGCTTCCACAATGAAATCACAGGTTTCACAATGGCTTAAACGGGGACAAAAAGATGGACCAATACAATGCTGAAAGTTAGAGGAAAAAGCATGTCTTTGGCATCTCATATTTAACACAAAAATTTACACCATGACAGAAAAATTCACCCCAAAAAACCTAGGAACTGCTGATAATGAGAGTCTCTGTTGCTAGTCTGAATTGGGTTTAAAATTACAAAAGAACCCAAAGACCACCTGCAGAAGAAACAAGTTGCAACCTATCTACCTGGCACCAAACTATGCCCTTAAGTGGAGCACTACAGTTAAAAGAAAACTCAGGGCATTTTGCCACTGCACGTCTACTGCTATAGCTTCATGCAGCATCTCACTGTTAATATAAATTTAGGACAGGCCAACATTTACAGCACATTTAAAATACATCTCAAACCACCTATCTCTTAAAACAGATCCTTAGTTTACAATGAACTGCTGGCAAAAAGCTTGCTGCAGCATTCTCATGAATGACAGATCTCTGTAAAGAGTGCTTTTTGTACTGCATTAAAAAATTCACAGCAGTCTGTAAAATAAAAACTCTAGATCAAATGACATTTTAAATGAAAATTTTGCAGAATTTTCTATGGCTGCTATGTTCATGAGACTTTTTATTAGTGTAAGGGGTAAATACCTTTTACTCTGCAAGAGCTTTATTGCATTTTTCCTTCATTTACAGCATGCTTTTTATTTAGGACTTTAGAGACCCACATTCTTCTCTCCCTCCCCTTCTTTTTTTCTTCCCTGAATGCTCCTAAAATTACAGAACAAGGGGATCCTACCTGGCAGTCTACAACAGGTCAGTGATCAAACAGAAGGAGCAGTGAGACAGCAGCCAAATCCTGCCCCATCTCCTGAGAATTACAGAAAGCCAGGGCTTCTCAGCCTGCAATGCTGAGCCACTGCACCCTGAGGCTCAGATAATCGTAGTTCACTTTCTGCAAGCACATACAGCACAAATCTCTGCACCTACTGAGGTTAAGATGCCAGCATTTTTTTTTAAGTTGCAGCTCACTGTAGTTTTCGACACAGGTAGAAGCTGCTTGAAAATGTGACCTCATCTATCTTATGACACCAGAAACAAAGATAGATTAAAAATACACCAACGTTGCTCTGCCCCAGTGATCAAAGCTGTTTCAAATAAACAGTGCTCTTTATCTGTAAAATGCACTGGTCTTTGAACAACTATTCGTTTTACCTGAAGTATTTACATTTCCTTGAACAAATCAATACACCAGATACAGTAAGCTGCAATATGAACAGACAGAACTAGACCAAGTAGTGAAGTATTATCATTTATCCAGTAATGCGCCAGTTTTTCATTAAGATACTACTTTGTGCAAGGAAAACACTCTTAAAATCTTAGTAGGTTTTAAATACAGCCTACATTCAGGAATGCATTATGCACTGAGTTAACATTACACAGCCTACGTCTGCTACGAACTCAAAGAAGCATGAGCAGTCTTTGCCATTTCAAAAAGCCAGTATCACTGCAAAAAGTGAAAATTAGTGGGTGCAATAACACATCAGGAAAGAAGTGACGTGGTAGAGTGGGTGCCACAAAGTAGTAACTAATTATTAACTTCTGGAAAGGTTAGCATGAATCCTCTTTAGGCCATAAGCTACAGCCAACATGAATAAAGACACATTCTTGATTAAGGAAACAAACTCTAAGCTGTGAGAATTACAGACCGCAGTTAAAAGGCACGATGCACAGAAACATTTACCCTTTCATCAAGAACGGCTGGCCTATCTAGGAAAGAACTGAGATGCTCTAGGAGAGTCTGCTCTCGAACCGGATCTGTGGTTAAACAGAAGCCTTAGTCCACACAATTAATCTTAGGAACTGCACTTTCATGAATGTCATATGAAGAAAATTAAAGATACTTACACAGCCACCAGCAAGAATTTCTGCAGCCAGTGGGACAGATCCATCTTTAGTCCTGAACTTATCTCTCACAAAATCATTAACCTTAAAAGACAAACATTTATGAAAGCTGATAAATTAAAAGGTCAGAGAAAACACTCATCAGCTGCAAATTCTGTGCAAATGAAAATGCAAACACATCCACTAAGCTACCAAACTACAAGATATCAAAGAAATCAAAGTCTGAGATTTGGTATTAAATATTCTAAAGCTATGTTCTTCCTTCTAACAAGAATTTGCAGTATAATTCAAATACTTATTATTCAAAAAACAAATCATCACTATTAATGTAATTTTTAAAATCAGAAAATTATAAATACATTAATATTTTAGAAGTGTCAAATTAATAAAAATATATTAACAAATTCAAATGTCAAATTAATATCAGAATGTTCAATACTAAGCTTTAACACAATGGCAATTCAATTAGCAGCATTACGTGCCTTTTTTTAAAAATGCATACTACTAGCTTTGATGAATACTGCCTTAATAGTGAATAAACAATATATTGTGGTTGGATTACAGTAAGAAATTCTTAAGTGCCTTACAAATACTTAAGAAATAACAAAATTACAGAAGTAAAACATTTATAAAAAACCATCACACAAGCAAGTTCCTTTCTTACCAACAATTCACTACATGCTCATATTATCTATGTCCTGTTGCACTGGAATCATACATACAGTAACCACGTGGAGATACAAAAAGAAAAGCCCTCCAATAAGTAACTATTCTGATTTGCTAAGAAGTGAAACCAAAGGCCTATGCTACTTACAAACAAGTCGAATGAGCTTGTTCTATTTTGGAGTGAGTCCAAAAATAAGTTTTAGTAAGATTCTTAAAATTTACATGTATACCTCCAGATGAGACTTGTATGCCACTTGTACTGTTCACAAGTCAGATATTAATAGTTGCTAATTTTAATTTGCTGCATTTTACAATGTGGAGAAACGTGAAAAAAATCCATTTACAAACTTACAGTAAGTTTTATGGCCTTCTCTGGTGCTACTCCTAGTAGCTGTGGTAACAGACCTGTAACATGGAAATAGAGAATTCAAGGCATTGAGTAACTTGGTATTAAATAAACAAATCAACAAATGTAGAGACCAGCACCTAGAAACGGGCGATTTTTACAGCAATTTTGTGTTATTATATATAATGAGAGTACTTAAACATTCCATTTTGAGAGCAAACATTGTGCTACCACTTCAAGTACTACCACTGTCTATATGTATTTTTTCTTTACTCTTTTTAATTCATACTAACTCATTCTGTGTTTAAACACTAATATAGATTTGCCAAATATGTTTCAGTACTATCCTAAGCTGACTTTTATTTTCTGCATCTTCACACAAAAATCAAGATCGTCTAATTAATTTTGTGAGATACACAAAGAATCCACTTCAAAAGTCAAAACCTCAGTACCTTTTCCTAGCAAAAACAATGGCATTAGATGGCAGGACTGAAGGGGATAGGAATCAAAATAATGCAAAACATTCAAACACGTATGACTGCATTCTTGAGCTCTTTGCCCAGCTATTTCATCAGCTCTTAAAACAAAGGAAGTTATGTTGCTTTCTATCCAGGTATGGAATTTTCTATTTTATTTTGTTAGAAGTGATGTGTTACAGAACTGGAAGTGTGAATTTCTGACTGTCAGCTTCACTTGTTTGAAGTGAATGGTCGATATTTTGTAAACATTTGAATGACACAGCCTAAAAATAGGCAAAGCTTATCAACAAAGCCTGAAGCTAGAATGGTGTTGCAAGCATTCATCAGCATAATGAAATTAGGACACCATTCAAAAATGTGAGAAAATCACCCAAGCTAGAGCTCCTGGTGCAGAACCCTTTGTTTTAGCAGCTCAGGCAGCACATTTGGGTACTCTCTAAAAAGCCTGACATTTTCACCTCTCCATGGTTTGATTTTGTTGAAAAGAAACCCCAAAAACAATTAAGTTTCCACCTTTAAAAGTTAACCTGCTGAAGAAACATTTTCTTAAAGAACTTAAAGAATGTCAGAATAACACAGAGAAAAATGCATATGTTCTGGTTTAGTATATTCTTCGATCCTGCTACCATCCATCACCTTTACTGGTTCCTACTGATCCTCTTAATAAGAAATTGACATTGAAGAAAAGCATCATTTGATTTGTGGTAGCAGGAGACCCAACCATATTTATATACCGATGTCTTTATACAGTTCATGTACATGTACGTGTAACATTTACCCAAGATAACTATGCTGCATTATGATCACATGACTTAATATTGAAATTAAAAAATACAGTAGCACTAAGTTCATATACAGTTGCTGAAAACCAAAAGATATTCTGCAGAGTAAGTTACATTTTAGAATCTGAGTTTCTTAAAAAGTGTTACTTGTACGGGTGACATGAAACCAGACCTCAGTAAAAAACCATTAAGCTATTCAGAATTATGTAATTAAATATTACATTATCTGCAGCACTATGAGGGATGCACTAATATAAAATGAACAGGATTTTTTCATTACAAAATTATCTTTGTAATTGCTATAATATTTACAACTTGCTACAGGACATATGTGACTTAATATAAACATTATGGCAAATAACTTTATATCTTCAGAGATTAAAAAAATGTTCCATATACTTTAAAAGCACACTACCTAATCTTAAGCCGAATTCAGCAAAATTAAGCAGGTATGATATAGCAAATATAATTCTAATCACAAAGGTCATTAATTTAAAAATCACATATACATACATCATTACACCCAAGCTATACACACCATGACTTTCAAGTCATGTTTTATCAAATAAATCACAGGAAAAGACATTCTAAAATATAAAGATATGAAAAGTATAAAAGTAGCCCAGTTGATGATCTACATAAACCTCGAATCTTAGAAACAATATTAGCAGGACAAATCAAATCCATTTTCACTGAACTGATCTGAAGATGGCCTTTTAACCACTTTTCAGCTCCCAAAACTTTGCATTTGTAAAAACACTTGCAAAATCATAAGAAAAGGACGTTTATCTTGGCACAAGTTTTTGTTTTTTTTTCATCTGGTTCATTCCTTTTGTATTCAAATCTGAATGAGACTATTACAACTCAAAGCTTTCCATAAAACTTTGAGGTAAAGAAGCGAAAGATTAAATAGAATAGGCAGCAGTTTAAAAAAACCCCAACAACAGAAAAACCCAGCTAAACCACCAAAACCTTGAACATTTTTCTCTTTTCCTGCCTCTACTTCACACATAATTTTATAGTATAAAAGTGCTTTGTTAGTTTAATTACAGATAATGCTGTATACATCTACTAGAAGATAGAAATCAGTATTCTATAAAAGGTAGCCCGAATTTTAAAACCAGGTATTATAGCCTTACCAGCTACCAGCTAGGCTTACTGTCTCCAGCATGCTAGGAAGGCAGAGGGACCCTTCATTTGATCTCATACCTATCCCAAAGTGGTACCTGTGCATTCTGTATGTTATGACCACCAAAATTAAATTTTCTTTTCTTTATTGTTTTGATGAGAGCCCAAAACACTGTTGATAAATTTCTAAACGTGATAAAGATGTTAAGTTTTGAAAGAAAGAAAGCACATCAAAAGCCCCATATATAAAAATGTCATATTTCTGTTGGGGTTATCTTGACACGGTGGGAATTTCTTAGTGTTCCTATGCATTAGCAGATCAGCAATATGACATATACACAGATGGAGAACAAGCTTAAAAATGTCTGACAGTGCCTTAAAAATGCATGCCTTAAAAATGCATGCCTTTTATAATATCAGAGCACAATATCTTGCACATAGGCAGCCTGCTAGTATAGCACATAGTAAACACATTATTCAGTGCCTTTTTATACCCAAGGCTTTTTAGCAGCAATTACAATGTACCACTTTGTATGTGACACACTGTCATAGTGGGACTCTCAGGGAAGGGGAAGGTGTGTGCAAGACAGAGCACCAAAAGCTGCATTCATTTTGTGACACCCTGCAAGTTATTTTCTGAAAGCAGTCTAAATACGTTGTGAATACACACACAATATACACAGCTCTGCCAGTCCAGCTGTACCGATAGCACTGAGAAACAAAACTCTTACTTGGCCAAAGTATTTTTTTAGATGTCTAACAGGGAAGTTTCAGTTTCACACTGTGTAACAGATGTGATTTTCCCTTCATATTAGGAAAAAACAGCGACTGAAGGTTTTGTTGCTCGGTCTAGATAAAATATTTGAAACCATTAGGCCATGTCATAGGAAGGCAGTAATGGAACACTGCCACATTTTTCCATTACAGAATTCACGAAATAAACTAGACAATTTGAGGGAGCCATTCAAATATAGCTCCCTCAAACTGGAAATGGGATATTTCCTAAAAATTTTGTGCTTTGACAGAACTTAGGGTACAAGTAAGCTTGTAGTTCCAGTCTATATATATGGTATTCCATTGCATAATTTGGAAGGAAAGCTTCTGCCACAGCCTTTTTGCATCATTAGCATGGGAGTCCATCATTAATAATGAACCTGGATGATGAACAAATCATTAAAATATAATTAGATGGCATTTGGAGTCACTGCAGGGCTAGAAGCACAACAGAAATAAAACTAACAAACAAGTTCCTGAACAGTTAATGATCACAGATGACAGTCTTCAATAGCATTCCCTGTCTTTTCCATCCTCCAGGCAAAGTGACATTAACGGCATGGCTACCAAACATTTTCCTAAACTACATTTTATCTCTGGTACTTAAATTTCCCATGCAACTTCGATCAAGTATGTGCGAAATAATCACTAGTGGCTGCATTGCTTAAGTCTGTGAAGCATTCTGTGACTCATCAGGTGGACTTCTGACTAAAATTTTATCATTACATGTAGGTGACCTCATCAGTTAGAAGAGACCTTGACAAATGACAGCTTTCAAAATTTTCTTAAATTTGCATGCATAAAAATACCTGTGAGCTTCTAAATATGCATTTCAGGTATAAATGTAGACACAACAGTAAATTACAGGTATATGAGATGAGCATTCTTTTCAGCCATGCTAAGAGACAGATGAAAAATTTATCTCAGATATAAAGTCTTTAAAAAATGCTAACAACACAGCATTCATATAATGCATATTATAAAGACTCTACAGAGGTTTATATCATGTTTGTTTTTGTTGGTTTGTTTTTTCTTTTTAATCCAAGTGTCCTCTCAGTGGAAACATTGATTACACCTAGAACCAAACTGACATCAAACCAAATTTAGTGCTCTCTATATATCCACAAGATGGTGTAATTTATCCTTATCTGAGATGGTGGTTTAAAACATGGTTTCCAAGTTTGGAAAAAAACAGTGATACAAAAAAGAAAAATCAGTTCACTTTGTCGAATGGAAATATGAGCCTTTTATTAAGAATATCTGAAATGGCTGAGTTCAGAGTGGGACTTGTAATTTCTGCTTGCTTTCTTGAAGTGACATCATGACAAAGAGACCACTGCTCTAAATGTTTGTAGTACAATTTTTAAAAAGCTTTTGCATCTATTCAGCTAAGGAGAAGTCTCCCAATGAATACTCCCTCCTTCAGTGGGACAAAACCACCCACACTGACTTAACCCTGAAGAAATCAGCTGAAGAAAGAACTGCAGTGACCAGTGAGTAGTAAAAAGTAGTGTACTCTGTAGTGTGTCCTACCTAGGGTAGAATTCAAGACTAGAATAAGATGACTCTTGCTAAATGTTTACTGCATTACATTCGGTAATTACACTACCTACAAAATGCTCCTTTCAAATCTTCCTTCCTCTCAAGCTTAACTGGAAACTTCCTTCTGCACTCAACTCCTTAACTTTCTTCAACATCTCCTGAGAAAGTGAGCAATAGTCTGAATTTACAGAACTGCACAGAAGAAGCTCCAGATTTTTAAGCAGTTTTCTCTGTCTCTTTAAAAAGAGCAAAGTCAGGCACATGTAGAAGCACATGTCTCAATTTGCCTCTAAAATGATGGTATTCAACTATATAATCCAGAAATTAGATTATTGGCCTGGTCTTAGAAGTTCAGCTCCACCAAACTGAGATTCCAGTATTCAGTATTCCTTGGAAAATTGGAAAGTAGCAAAAACATAAATGGGGAACATAAGGACAAGCTATACTGATAATGTTTCCTAAGGTTCCCTAAACCTGGCACTGAAAAAAATCATTCCAAACTAAGGACAAGCAAACAGAGTTAAGAACATGCATTTATAACATTTCTGAGCTTTTATCTGTTTTTTTTTCTCAAGGTGAAAGAAATCACTGTCCTTCAGAATTTCAATAAGACAGAAGGATGCAATAGTAGAATTCTGCATATTTATTATTTCAGGATGCTGGAAGAAGCAGACAAAAATTTACAAGGAATACATTTGGTTCTTTAGGTAATAACTGGGACTTTTGAAAGATTTTTCTTGCTATAAATCCTCACAAAATAGAGACCATGTCAATACTCTTTATTAAATTATTATGTCTACTCCAAAAATATCCTCAAACTCAGTCAGTAATAAGAGAGCCTTACCATCTCCAATTGTGCTGAAATAATTACAGTGTCTGTATTTTACAGCGGAGCTACTTTACCACTCAGGTCATATGTTATACTGTGCACATCTATCACACCACCTAGTTTTAATATTGTTTCCCACATTGTTTTATGAACTGTTACTTTTTTTTAAGGTGCACACAGCTTTGCCAGTTCATAACAATATGTTACCAAGATACTCTGTCCTTCATTCCTTACTCAACTGTTTTTAACAATTCGTTTCTTTCATTATAATATTCTTATTTTACAAGTGAAAAGAAGTTTCTAAGCAAGCTAGCTAAAAATGAAGTCAGTAATGCAAATTTCAAATTCTCCCCTTGAATATGGCAGAGGGGCATAAAAGGTCTCAAAAATTGTGACACCAGAAATATAATTTACTTTAACTCTGTGACAGAGAAGAACTGGAATCTCATGACGAGGTTCCTGATTCTTTATGACTCCTCCTGAGTTACCTGAACTGACACCACTGATGCCACAACTGGGACAAGGACAGAAAAGAAAAAAAGCCACCATTTAACTTCAGGCACTTATCTAGATATCCAAAGTGAGTATGATTTGCATCTTGAACAGAGTCAATGGATTTTGGAGTTTTCTCCATTGACTACAAAGGCAGGTTGGAATGGGTAACTTCGTAACTTAAGTGTATGTGTTACATGTATAAAGCTAAGTGGGCTGAAACCCAATGAGTCAGTCTGGCTGACTCCACAGCGACAACCTAAGAAAAGGTACACAGAAAACTTGATGACTATTTCCAATGATTACTGAAGCAAATGCAACTGGTTCGTAGAGACCTTTCTGTTTCAAAAGAAACACAACAAAAAGGTACTGCAAAGAACAAAAACCCACAGATGATCTAACTTCTTACCAAACAGGACAAAACACTCTGGGCACTAAGCACTGCTAAGGAAATGGCAACTTTACTAACAATATATTTTTGCTGTAGGAAATTGCTAATGTTCCCCTATGGCAGATGAGGAGAGAAAGGACAGACAGGTCCTACAGCAATGTTCTCATTACAGTGAAGTTTTAATTATCGAGAAGTTTGCAAATCCTTCCCCTGTAACAAAGAAGCAAAACTGAAGTCTGAACTAAAAAAACTTAAAAATCCAGTCACACAAAACTTTTAATAGTATCTTATCATTAGTATATAACATCTTTTAAACTTACCTCGATAAAGCCCAAAGAAACCTTCATAACGTAGCACTTTCTTGAAGCAATCAAAGCTGTTTTTGTACATAAGTTCTCCCACAAAAGAGCCTGTAGAACGCTGGTTTTGCATGCGAGTTTTCACTAAATCAATTGGGTAGACTGCAGTGGCTCCAACAGCTGTAAATAAAATTCAAAATATAAGAAAACATGATTTTGCATTTGCACTGTTTGATGGCAACTGCCATCTTTCATATTTAGATCTAACTATAGCATCAGTTATATCTTTTTTCTTCGTGATATACTCTGGATACATTAAACTACCTCCCACAGTTTTAACCAAACACACTTTCCAATCCTACCTCATTATTAATTTCAATTTCCTGAAATTTGTTTGGGGACAAATCAGATAGCAACACCACCTGGAAACTCCAACAGCTCATAAATTCCACAATTCTTGTAGACCAGATGAACCTTTCCCCTTCAATCTTACAGTCATCCCACCCCTTAGATACAGCTCCAAGGGAAAGTCTGAGAAGCCTTCCACACTTAAATGAGAGGCAAAAGGAGAAGAAGGGCAAAAGAAAAGAAGAAAAAACCCAAACAGTGAAGATGAATATTCTTTTGCTCAGCCATGACTAACCTCCAGCAACTGAACCAAGGGCAAACCTGTACGCTGATTCTGCAATCTGGATGAGAACAGGTCGAGACACATCGCCTGAAGCTTTCTGTCAAGGCAGGATTTAAAACAAAAGGAAAGAGAAGAAAAATAATCAAAACATCTCATTTCCCAAGAGAACATTTCATGATCAGACAGATATAAGTATATGGATACCTGGAAAAAATTCCACAATACACTAGAGATTCTGTTCTCAATTATTACTTCTTTTGCACTGATTTCTAAGTGTCATATAAGGCAGCCTCTTCAGATCAGAATAGGAAAGAAAACAGATATTACAACAAAATTATACAACTCTAAAATCAATGGCCTAAATGTGGCCTAAATGTGGTCTACATATTGCCTCTTCAGTCATTAATTTTCTACAACCAAAATCAACTCCAGCTTGGAATTTCTTTCTACTGTCATCAAAACCAGTACACCTATTACTTCCCAGGCTACCAAAACAAGTATGCAAGCATTCACACAGATTAGCTGAAGGAAAATAAGGTTTTATAAAGTACCCCCACAATTTCATTTGCTCACAGTCTATGAGTGCTAGATTCAACCCAATGAAAAATAAATTTCAGAAGTATTCCAGATTTAAAATTGCTATCTAATGAAAGAAAATAATAAAGAAAACAGAAGTTCTGCAGGGGCATTAAATCTTTCATACTTACTAGCACTTGTAGCACATACTACAAGTAAAGCAACAAAATAAAAATATGGATACATTTTCCTGTGTTTACGTCATAGTTAATTCCAATATAGGTGCAGATGACCAGAATTAAATTAAAGATATCAATGTAGCTGAAAATCTTTTCAGTCTCAGCATCAAGCAGCAAAGGAATTGGGTGGAAAAAAATGAAAAGGTGGGACACATACACAGAAGAAATGGAAAGATTTAAGGATCATTGTTCATTGTCCTTGCCTCTTAGAACAATGTAAATCCTGGTAGCAGAGACAGTGGCCCCAAAGTGAAAAGTGAAGAAGCTGCTGCTTTCATCACACATTTTTCTCTACCTTTTACTGCCACCTATTGTAACTTATGTTACTGGATATTCAGCCCAAAGCAAGTGCTTTTAACTCCTTTAGGAGTCTTCTAGGAATAGATGGTGAGTTTTGGGAGGCAACTCACTTGAATTCAGCCCAGCATCATCACCATTTAGTCAGTGCTTGAACAAACAGAAAACCACCCCCAGATACTGTCTTGGAGTGGTGGTGGGGGTGTTCACATGTAGGGGAGGCAGGAGAAGAGAAAAGAGAAGAAAAAGAGATGCATGTGTACACACACACACACACAGAGGCCTGGCTTATGGCCTGGTAGTCCTAAAAATGTAGCCTGGATCAACTCATTGTGGTCAAACTGGCGTCTCCGCACAGACCCAGAGCAGGAAAAAAGAAAACCAACAAAAAGCCCTTACTCTCACAAGACACAAAGTTAAGACTGTCTTAAAATAGAGACAAACAGGAGGGTTAGTTTTAAATCTATCTGTATAGAAACTTGTGTCAATGAAAATACAAAATATGATAAGATAATATGAAAACTAAAAGATAACACGTTTGACATTTAAAGAACATTCCTACTTCCTTTTGCTTCAAATTAAAAAAAAATCCATTTGTGGTTACACCACTGAAAGTAAATATCCTTTAGGTTTTGGACATACTTTTACTGAAACTGTGATGTTAGTCTGTACATAAGCTCTCCTATTTTGATATTCAGCAGAGCATAAAGCAAAGCAGAGAACACTGTGAAGGCCAGGAACATGCATATGTGTTCAGAAAAAGGGCTGCCATTTCATAGGATAGATGCTGAATTTTAATTTTTTTCCCTTTTCCTCATTAAGAAGAACACACAGCAACAGAATCACAAAACTTAAACACCTTAATTAGGCATGCATCTAATATTTACTGACTAGCTAGATGACACTGCTATACATATTATCTTTCCTAAGTAAATTACATTTGACCAGTTAAAATGGAGCCCAAGAGGAAGGGGCACAAAGAAGAGATGGAGGGAACACAACACCGGATAAAAAATAAATTCCAACAAGATGTTACTCCTCACAGTTATTACAGAACACAAGAGAAAAGCAACTTAGATGACAACAACAGGAAGAGGTTGGCTGTCTATTTAACTGGCACTGGAAACAAATAACTGCATCATGCTGGCTTCTGTTCTTACCTGCCTCTGAGCCTCAGCCAGGTTGTAGGGCAACGTCCCCTCCTCCAGAGGAGCAATTCTCTCAATATCAGCTAATGTCATGCGCCTGAGGAAATTAATTCACATCAGTGTTTACTTAGAGGTTGGTTTTCCGATCAATAAAAGTTACCTGCACGTGGGCCACTACACTACGCTCTCCTATTCCCCAACACCACCTCCCACTCCCTTCCAAGAAGACGAGAGAAGAAGAAAGAGAGAAGGATAGATAATTCTCCACTTACCCCCGTGGCTCATAAAGATCTGCTAACTGAAACAAGATGTCAACTTCCATGGGTGTAACCTGACCAAATTTCTGGGCTGCCAGAACAAACTCCTCTGCAACAGAATAAAAATACAGAAAATTAAATGAAATCAAACCAGAAGAAATAATCCAGAGCAGCCCAAAGTTGCACTATATTTTAGTATAAAGTAGAAGATGCTGGTTGGGGAGGGTGAAAGGGGAGTAAGTTACCCAACACAGAAGTGTTCCTGCCACTACATAAATGTGTGCTTTAAATGGTCTGTCCTTCACGCAAGTAAGTACAACTCTCTGGTCTTAAAGCTCAGTACTACCAGCAGGATTTAGGATGTTTGACATACGGTATCAATCAGCTGCAGGTCAGAGGGAAAAATATAGAATAAAAAGCAAACAAAGAAAAACCCCCAAAACAGGAGTCAAGAGATGTGGAACTTTTCATGCATAGTCCCAGGAGGCCACATTAATGAAACTCTGGTGTTGCACAGGGAATTCTCTATAAAAGTGGTTAGATATAGCAGATAACATCTTGTTCCAAGCTTGTAGATCCGCTTACTGTGCCGCCAATACAAGTTTATGGAATTCTTCAACTACCCTTGAAGGTCACTTTAATAGGCTGCCAATTTGGCAGGAGTCCTAGGAAGTTTTTTAAACTTTTAAATATCTTTACATACTTTCCTCACCCTGCCCCCACTACCAGTTTACTAGGACCTTTTTCTGATTGAAACAAAATGAAAAAGCTGGAGGGTGCACTCTGACAGGACTGTACAAAACTGAGTGGCAAACCAAAGAATGGTAACGAGGTAGGCTTCCCCCCCTCCCCCTACTGATTTAAAAGCATACAGATGAGGTCTTTCCCTCCATTCAAATACCCAAGGAAACTTCCAGACTGCAAATACTTCTACCAACCTTTAGTGACTTCCACATCTTTTCTATTTCCAGCTAGAGTACTGTAGATCTTTCTAATGAGCTCCATGTTGTTAAGGAGAGAATTAAATCCATTAAAATAGGAAAAGCTGACCTGATGGGAAGTGGTACCTCCAGCAGCCTGGAGACAGAAGAGAAAAAGAGAAAGGAGACTGTTGCAAGACTAAAAAAACCTTGAAATAAAAGTTTTCAAAGAATGTTGTTTTACAAGAGTGACAGCAGCTCAGGCTTGCTTTTTCAAAAAACCTTCAAAATAAAGAACTTTAAACTATGAAAGATTCTTATGTTACTGAAACTAATCATGACCAGAATATAAAACTCTCCCCACCCTACAAACCTAAACAAATACATATGCAGGATTATAACAACATAACCAGTAGTAATTTACAAAGTTCAGGTTTCAGTACTGCTTCAGTTGGAAATGTTTCATAAGTTGGCTTATTTCTAGTAATGAGGAAATCTACTTCTACATGTAAAGCATATTACTATATAGAAAATTTCAACAAAATCAAAACATATTCTGAAAAAGGTCAATTGAAACCTTTAAATTCACAGGCATTTCAAGTCATGGAAAACCAGCAGTAAGCTCTCAGGCTTATATCAGGCAGTCAAACATAATGGGAACAATAAGGTTCAAACAGTTACTCATTTTCAAATGAGAACTGAGACTCAACCTTTGTCTTAAAGGGGTCATGGGTCTGCACACAGAAAAAAATATTGGTCAATTCACTATTTAAATTACAAGATCAATGATCAAGCAAATTTCTGAAAAAAATAGGCATAAGCTTATTTTTTTAAAGCCAAATTTTAACTGACCTTCAGGGATAATAAAAAATCATACCTGATGGTTTATGACAGAGCATATATGACACAGGAAGGCTGGTAACAAGACTGACAGAGAACCATGGAAGAAAGTACCAAATCTCACTGTCAGTTCCTAAATCTTCTGGCTATGCTTTTTGCTGCATGCATCTTCTAATATTCTGGTCAGAGTTTGCACAACTCATCACTTCACAGTTGCAAGTTAAGTGATGAAATCTCTCCCTTGCAAGTCTAAGCAGAGCTGACCTTTAAGCAGATCTTCAAACCTAAACATGGCCAAGCTTTGGATTACTTGGAATGTGCTGCTACAAGTTCCCAAAATTATAAACTGTGGTCAAAACCAAATGTACCTCTTTCCTTTATGCACTCCAAACTGAGACAAAATATACAGTCAAGTGTAACAACTATCAGTACAGACACAGCGAATGTCCTTGATTGATGGTGCAATTCATACATTGTCCCAGATACTTGGAAATTACACTCAGGAGCTTAGAATTTACATTACAAAGCAAGTTCTTTGAGGATGATATTCTAAGTGGGATGTAATGGCATTCAAAAATATTTGACACAGTCTACTATGATGGAATGGCTAGAAAAAGGCAAACTCAACATTTGTAGGCCATTACTAAGGTCCATCTACATACTTTGTCTCTGGAAACCAAGACCATTGAGGATATATATTCAGGGTTAATTTTCATATGTGTAGATAATAACTGCTAGACTTCAAAACATGCATCCTAAGGCTGGATTACGTGTCATGTAGTGGTCAAGGTACGTAAGAAAAGGAATTCCACATCTGTATCCCAGATCTGCCAGCTGGGATACCAGAACTACTCACAGCTACTAGACATTCTTCTACAAATGGTGTCAGCATGTGTGGCCGGATAGTGACCATAATGTCCCTGAAGTCCATAGCTGTGACTCTTCCAGACTGAGCATTGTCTCTCTGTACAAAGGCTTGTTTTGCATGTTCTAATTGTATCTCTTGAAAATATATGGGAAAAAAAAAAAAAAGGAGTTAGGTTCAAAATAATCACCTTAACAGTTATATTTAATATAAGTAATGCAATCCTACAAGACTCTCATACCTAACAAAACACAACTACATGTAACAGAATTTTAATTGGCTGTTATATGTATGTCTTATGTAAATTTCAGCCTTTTCTATTCAGTCTTTCCTATGGTGTCTATCACTGACACCAGCACCTAGGACAACATCATGATTTCTTTGCTGTCTGGACATTATGTCATGCAATTCATTTAACTGAGAAATGGAGAACACATACCAGCACACCAGTGCAAGTAAAATCTCCCACTCATGAACATTAAAGTTTTCCATGATATGCATAACCCAGTTTATCGCATGTGTCACAGCAGGTCAAAATACTTTCTGTAAAAGCACTCACTACTCCCTGAACAAGGACAATGAAATCATCAGAGATTTCCATGTAGACACCTACTAACCTGAAAAGGATTCCCTCAAAGAGCATCCTCACTTAAAACATAAAGTTATTTGTCTGCAAAAAACACCAGCAGTTTAATTTAGAACTTGTCTCATGACTGATTAAAGATCAGTTCTCAATATTTCAGTAGTAGTAACAGGCATAAATATTATCTGATACAATCACTTGATAATCTCATTTTGTGATTCAAATGTACTTCTGAAAGAGAAGGAAAAAAGTATATAATCTCTCAAAGTTGTATCTTTTCCTACTGTAACCTTCACCCTTTCGTCTTAAATTACTGTTAGAGTACTTTATTTTTTTGTCATTTAAAATGAACAATCCTGCACAGATAGTAACTGGATATTACATATGAATTTTTGTTCAGTTCTACAGGTTTGTAAAAAAAAACCCCAAAAACTCTGGTGATGTAATTAGACTTCCCAACCTGTATTTTTTAGCTGAATGGAGGAACACAAATCATTGCCATGTATTCCCTTTAAGGTTCAAGGATTATAAAAATTTCTTCACTGGAAAAACAGTGCTTATTCGAATACATATTCTAAGTCAGTTATTAAGAAAATGGAATCAGAGCAAAACTACGTCAGCAATACTAAGCAAGTCTTGCAGTGGATGACGACACTATCCAACTATTTCCATTATATTTGCAAATATGTGCCTTAAAATACATAATACTAAGACTCGAGCTAGTCAAGAATCACCATCATGAAGCATCCACAGTAAATATGACTTTCTATAAGTTGACATTTGTCTTACAGCAGCACTTAAGGAAATAAAGAGTGAAAGGTGAAAGGCAAATTCGGATGGAGGAGGATCAGAGCTGCCAGAGGCCTGCAGATGTCATCCCTCTCTCCTTCTATTCACTCAGTTCACACTGCCACTCAAACCATGCTTGTCTTTTTATTTCAGCCGTCTGACTTTGCCAATTTTGGTCCTAGTTTCTAATTACACCACTGTACCCTGTATGATGAAGACCTCCTAATATATTAGGCAGAGGGAGGAAAGGGGTGGGGGGGAAAGACTGATCAGTGTTTCACTCCAGAATAAATCTGAAATTTCTTCTTTTGATGGGAAACGCTTGTGGGGGTTATAATTTGAAGTGGTACAATTTCAGTTCAGCCACATTTTCTTTACATTACAGGCCCTTATGCTGAAGTGTAACAATTCAGCAATAATACTCACTCTGGCTGGATGCAGCCATGCAAGTTCTTACTTCACTCCAATTGAGACTACAATTTCAACAGAAATTTGGAAGGAAGCAATTTTGGAAGGTTTATGGTGAGATGAGCAGAAAAACACAAAAAGACTTCATCAGCTTGAGGCAGACAACTACTTGGAGGCAGAGAGCTCTGTAGAGGAGTTAAGTATAATAAAGCCTGTACCCTAAACACTCACCACCTAGCAGGTAGAAACGTATGAACAAAAATGTTTGTCACTAAATGAAAGCACCACCATAGAAAAATCAATTCTATTTAGCAGAAGGATTACGTGGGAAACAGTGCATGTTGCTTTCTTCTCCTTCCCTCATTCAATTTGTTTTAACCACTGAAACTGCTGGCAGAGTTTCGTTGGCAGAATCCAGCACTAAAATGCAGTAAAAAACCTGGACACCACCTGCAGAAGTCCAGTCTGTTCCTGTCTCTGTACGCCCATCAGTGAGTCTGGAGGTACTGTACCACTGGTGTGACCTTAGCTGACAGCGACGTCTTAGCCACAGAACAAAGCAGGGCTTGTGCTCCAAAGGGGTGCATCAAGTGTGTGTTTGTTGTCATCACCCAGCTGACTGCAAAAAGGCTGCTAGTACTACAGCTGAGAACAAGCCAAAACACCCCATCCTCTCCTTGCTAAGGGGATTCTTTCCCATTTCCTTGGTAAACTGGAACCCACTGGAGAGAATTATCCCACTTGTTTAAACACATTGTCAAGGTCTTGGTGCTGCCATTTACCCATCTTCTCGTCAGCCAGAAAAGAACCATTTAGCTATAGACAGACAGCAAGACAAAACTGTGAATGGGATGATGTCAGTCTTCTGAAACTCCCTATTCACACTTCTTCCCTAGCTCAGAAACTAAGTTCCAGTTCAAGATGGTTTACACATACTGCACATAGATAAAGAAGACTGACCTCAGAAAGGCAGACACTTTTTAGGCTATGGTTATTTTGAGCAGTGCTGCACATTTTCCAGTTACACCAAGAAGAAAGAAGCACAGGGATCTTCAGCCACATGACATTTCCAAACCACGACCATGGATGGCAGCAGTATGGCACACAAGAACACACAGACACATGGTAACAAACAATCTCTGCTATCACAAACAAACCAGATATATGTCACTTTTCTAATCACTGCACAGTGCATATCAATGCAATAAACTCCTTGAAGTGTTTACCTCAAAAGGCTATCCATTCCCTCAGCCTCCATGCCTGAAAGTTGAGACAACTCACAGCATAACACAGCACATGTTTCAAAATGAGCTCACTAGCTACTAGCAATTTATCAGGAAATTCTTTATCAGATGTTTGTAACATATGTTGCGTATATGCAGCTAATATAAAAAATATCACCTTAAAAATAAACTGAAAAACAATAAAGCAAAGCTGTATTCTTCAGATGCTGACTTGCAATAATTTTATTATTTTATTTATATTTAGAAATTTTATTTCTGTCACATATTATTTTAACTAGACAGACTGAGGTTTAAAGAATTACAGTCCTCGTTACTTTGCAATACAAATTACACATCCTAAAGAACCTTCTCCAACTAGACTTTCTGTAAACTCAAAGATACATAGAAAACAAGCATCTTCCTTGATGCTGGAAGTCCAGAATTCCCCCAGGTAGCATAAGACTTTGTGAAAAATTAATTCATACTCATGGCAGGCATGCTGGCACCAGAATTCTAATGAAATTATTTCCTATCTAGAGATTTTACCTCAGCTTTCACTTACAGCTCATTAAAAGCTTCTTTACCTTCCACTTAGATAGAAATTTATGTTTGCATTCCATCCCAATGGATCTACAAGTCATCAGATACATCACAATCTTTGCCACTGGAGTAGATCCCAAGGTTCAATTATAGAGAGTACTACTTCAACTAATATTCTGGGTGTAAATAAATTCCCAGACAATGCAGAAATGGTTTTACCAGGCCCACACATAAGCATATGTTAAAATTCATTGCATGGAACAGATTTTACATGCTGAGAAAGGGGCTGATGCTGCTCTTCATAAGGCAGACTTGCCACTTAAGTGATGATGGAACATGACCATATCCAAACAGATACATATGATGGATATAAAGTATAGATAGATGAGCTAATTTGAAGGTAGCAAATGAGCAGGCTAAAACAACACTCCTTGAGCTCTAGGTTGATGCAAATATATTGTTAACTGCATCTGAGCCAAGGAGTTTGGAGGCTATACTTTCAGGCATCTCTCTTATTGCAGACAGAAAAAGTGCTGGAAGAATATAAATATTCAGAATCCCATATAAACACTTCATATTTAAAGCCACAAGAGATCCATCTTGTGCATGGATAAAACATAGTAATGTTATTTTCCAACTACCTTGAGCTTTGCCAGAAGTGATGATTAGTCCAAATGCTTCAGATAATGATCATGGAACAACTTTGTGTGACATAATAGGATCCAATGTAAAGGAATGAATATAACTAGATTATTCCATTAAAAGTTGCAAATTGCATTGTACTTACAAAGCAGTACCTGAAGCGCCCTACAGAACCATCTGGTCCATGTTAAGTGCAATGTAAAGTGCATTCACACATCAGGAATGCAGAAAGGTAATTTGGTATCCACTGTGGTCTCCTGCTGTCTAAGGTCCAAGGTCTAGACATCAGACTAAAAAGACTGACTCATGCACAGGCAGAATGTCAGAAGGAAAAGCTGAGTACCAAAGGTTACAAAGCTTAAAGGAAGGTTTCCATGCCTGTGAACAGTAACTCTCCACTTTGTGCTGAGAGCCATTTCTGTGCCCAAACTTCAGCATCTGTAATACAATGCTGCAAGGCAAGGATCAGCAGGGAAACTTATGTGATTCAAGGATTTACAGTTCTAGAAAGTGGGTAAACAGATGTGCCCAATTACTGTGACTGACTGAGCATCCTAATAAATCATACTGGTAACAGGCAGCTTCAGCAGTCTTAGGACAATTAATTTATTTGAAAATCCTTGCTGCCTGCACCAATGCTGAGAGCATCTTTATTAGCAGCATTAGAACTTTTCCTGAGTGCATCTCACCTCTCTGGAGACACCCAGAATTGTCATTCTTATTCTCCTGGTTTATGCTCTGACCTATACGGATCACTACCAAAAGGGCTGGCTGGTTCATTAGGACCACTGACATCTTCCAGCACAACCAATTATCCCCAGTATCATCCCATCAAGGAAAAGTCCTTTCAGGTAAGAGGAACATCCCTCCACAAGATGAGAAAGCCTAATAGTTAAGACTAATCTCCAAAGTTAGAAAACTCCTCCCTCAGTGCTTGCTTTTCCTAATTCAAGTTAAAAACACAAAAGAACCCAAAGAAAGAACTCAAATACCCTAAACACCCAGCCTTACCATTACAAGCTCTTTTAGGTCCGTGACTTTAAACTCTGTTAACCTCTCTCAACAATCCTTGCACACACATATTTTTGGGGTTTTTTTAATGGTGAGAAAGTGTCATATTTTTATTCTGAGTTTTTCTACAGGTTTTCCCCATATCTCTAAGCAAATAGATGAGGCAAACAGGACTGGTACTTTTTTTACAGCTGTGACTTTAAATCACCAAAATCAGGATACATTTCTGAGGCTTATTCTGTAGTTGGAAGGAGATACCAGAACACATTGCCAGAGGCATTTTTTCCTAATCAAGCACATTTGCTTTTTCATTCAAAAGAGGTTCTGATTCCTATTTCTGTCACAAAACTGGTTTATGTCTTAGCTACTTAGGAGTTACAATAGTCAATACAAAGCCTAAGGGAATATGATTTAATCATGTGATACCTGACGGTCTCTTCATACAAAGTTAATTAGGCTCTGTTCTACAAAGTCAATTTGAAACATTTGTCTCAATAGCATTATCTTAATTATTCCTCATCAAAATGATACCACCTCCTACTGTGAACTAACATACTTGTGTAAACAAGAAAAAAAGAAACCTGGCAGTCTTGAAGCAGGTTCCCATTTTAAAATTCTCTAGTGTAAATACTAATACAGGCATTAAGTATTCAGGAGGAATACAAATAAGAAACTCACGTGTTTCACCTCTTTTCCTACTGAAAACTATTTTTAACAGTACTGCTGAAATATAGATAATCAGGGTTTTTTTTATTAGCATAATATTTTACTTCATGTAACAAAGTACCCGAAAGTATGAATAGCCAAGAATTCCTTGCAAAAAGTAGTATTTTATTCTTTATATGTTACAAGCAAATTTTCCCTCTCTAAGATAAGCTTAATTCAAAAAAGATCAAAAGTAAAGTGTAGGGAAATGGCTTTTAACAAATATTACTGGATGCCAGCTCTGAATTAAATATGTGTTTGGCAAACATGCTGTTTACAGACAGAAGTACTTCTTAATACAAGTCTGGCAAGTTGAGTCCAAAATGTTCAATACTGTTATTTAACATTCTTTGACTTGCAGATTTAAAAATACAGGAGATTTTCAGACATCGAAGTCTATGTTTTTAATTTCAAGTCTGTGTCTACACAACAGTGTAGAAAAAAATCACCTTCTGCATACAGATGCAAAAACAAAGGGAAAAAAAACCCAGTTAGCCTGAATCAAAAATTTTACCAATAACATATCCTATCTATCAACATACTATACAAGTCCAGCACTCTGATTTTAAGAGCCTACACTTGGTATGTATTTCAACTTTGCTACCAGCATGGTATTTGGCACGTTTGCAAATACTTTGATTCTTGCATCCTTCTTATTACTCTTGACAAACCATACTGCATTAGACCCACCAGTAAAAACTGAGTGAACTCCGCGTATGTTAGGTGTCTTTTCCGATCCTTCCCAAAATGCAGCTGTACGAACTCTGAATTCCAGTTAAAAGGAATGTGCTGATGAATCGTGGTCTGGCCAAAAACTTGTTTAGCATCCTCTGGAAAGAAAAGTGTTCATTTAGTAATAAAATAAAATAACAATAGAGACAAACATATAAACAAATACTTTATAACAGGAAAGCAATATTGTTCATATAAATTAGTTACATATTATAAAGCAAACCTAGTATTTTTTGTTTACCCAAATGATCACCCTGACAAATAGTTTCTGAATTATTATTTTTATTAATGAAGTTTTATATGCAGAGCATTTAATTAAAAGGAACTCAGATATTTCAAATTTCAAATTCAAGCAAGGGAAGGTTAAAATTAAAAGACAATTTATAAAAAGATGACTAAAGCTAACTGATTTTCAGCATAATCTTTTCAAGTTGCAAACAATGAAAGTTTTGTATCACTATATTTCATGCTTTTGAATTTTTCCCAGAGCTCTCCACATTCAAACAAATCAGCTACAAAAATACCATTATTCCAAGATCCACTTTTCTGGAGTTACTTATGGACCACTGACACAGGACAGGGGATGGGGGGAGACATGGAAAGCTGGAATAAAAGCTTATGACCAGCATTATGCAGATTTTAAATCTGAATCTTTTCTGCAAGGAGGGGGGCAGATGATCACACCTAAATACAAGCTTTATATTTAGTAGTCACAACTGGGCAACAGTTTACTACACACTTGGCAGACTGGTAATACACAGCAGTTTCTGTGAAAAAGCAACTATTTGATACACAATCAGTAGTAATGACCATACGTTTCTGCAACAAGACAGCATTTACTGTAAGTAATGAAAACAGCAATGAGATCTGAGCAAGTACTTGTCTCAAAAGACAGAGCCCACTTCAATGCAATAGTTTTGTCTCAGCCAAAAAAATAGGACAAAGATATCCTCTGAAGACAAGCTCAAGGCCAGAGGTTCCCAGCTGCCCTCCTAATTGCTGTATGACTCTTCCAGCAATTCAAGCCAAGAGCCAGTTCTTGTCTCCTGCGCGTTCCTTTGAGCATGGAGAGATGGTTCCCAGGAGTCACTCCCTACCCACAGGCTGGGCCAGGAGCTGGTCTGCTCCCTTCACGCTTTGTGGAAGAAAGACCAGGAGTCCAAACCACGAGCTCCTGTCTGTCTCTGCAAGCAGCAGAGCTGTAAGCCAGTTCCCAAGCACGGCTGGTGCCTGGGGTTGAGGAAATCAGCACAGCTTAGTGCCTGCCTGTGCTCAGAACAAGCTGGGAATCACCCCACTGGAGCCAGCCTCTGCCTGCCAGGCAGGATTGGGAGCCACCTTCCACTTCATTCCAGTGCCACAAGCAAAGGTGGGAGCTGACTCCTTGGGGCGATGAGGTCATGTCTCCTGTGCATGTTGAGTTCTGGCTTCTGGTTCAGTCCATGCCAGGCAGGCACAGCAGCTCTGTTGACTTGGGGAAATACAACCAGGGTGGAATCCCCTCTTTCAGGCAAGGAAGCAGGAAAAAGTGAGAGTGAAGTGGTAGAGCTGAGAGCCAGGAAGATGTCAGGAAGAGCCCAAGTAAATGAAGAATAAAGACACAGAAAAAAAACAGTCACAAAGAGATGAAAGGGGTATGTGTCCTGCTGCACTGACCCAAAAGCCCTGCACACGGTATTACCCACAAGAACAGCTTGTTCTAAAGCAAGAAGACTTCACAGAGAGAGCAGAAATGAAACTGCAAACCTCTTCCCATCTCACAACCGAGTTTGTAGTTTCAGCTTCAAAAACACAGCAACCACTGATCCCAGGAAATCAGTGGTGAAAGAGCAAGTTGGATTTAACCTACAAATAGAAAGAGTAACCCCAGTTAACCTCAAATTCATAAAATTCATAACTCCAAGTCCTAATGTCCTATGAGAATTTTCTCCAAGCAAAGTCAATGCCCCCAGGACAGACCCATTGTTCATTCATGTCTTATGCTCCATCACAGCCAGCTTGGATCTTGTCTGCCAGCATTCTCCTGGAGCAAAATTCTGCTCTCAAGACAGTGGGAGAGAAAGTCTATTGGTTCAGGGTGAGGTCCTCTACTTGAAGTCTTTCATTTATGGTGCTTCCTACTGACACAGCTCAAGGCACCTTGCCACATGTCACTGGCGATCACATTTATAAAGTTCCTGCTTTCTGCCAGACTTTGTTCAAAGAAGGCAGCTGGCATGAAAAAGACAGCTTGTCTTGCCTTCATCCAAGAGGAAATAAAGGTTGTCTCTTTCTGGCAGTGACCACTGCTTCCAGAGAAATAAAAACATTCACAAAGAAATCAGATGTCCATCTGCTTCCTCCTTCCTTCTCATCCCATCTTGAATTTCCCCAGAGAAAGCCACTGATACTGTGCGGATGAGATTAGGAACGAATCATCATTTACCAAAAGCTATGTTTGGCTGGACTCCAGATTTGCCTTTGTCAGAGAAGAAAGGTGCATTCTTACCTGTTGCAAGGTAAGAGATAGCAGAAACTTAGCTAGTATAAAATGAGTCTCAAATTTGTTTTGATGGGGCAAGGCTCCACACAATTCTTACTTTAAATTGTTAACATAAGAAAGTTGCACAGTCTCCTTTGAATATGCCCCTGTAATTTTATTTTCATTTATTATCATGCATTAGCCACCTTGAAGGAACAATGTATCCTGCTCTGTGTCCTGTAAACCCTCCTAGGCTGGAGCCCAAAATTGAAATTTCATCTCAAGAAAATGAAACATACGATCATAAAATGGTTTTGGTTTAAAGAGACCTTAAAGATCATCCAGCTTCAACCACCCTGCCACAGGCAGGGACACCCTTCACTTAGACCATGTTTCTCAAAGCCTCATCCAACCCGGCCTTGAACAATTCCAGAGATGGGGCATCCACAGCTTCTCTGGGCAACCTGTTACAGTGTCTCACCACCCCCACAGTGAAGAATTTCTTCCATACGTCTAACCTAAACCTACTTTCTTTCAGTTTAAAACCATTCTCCCTTTTCCTATCTTGTAGGCTCCCTTTGGGTACTGGAAGGCTGCAATTAGGTCACCCCAAAGCCTTCTCTTCTTCAGGCTGAACAATTCTCTCCACTTTTCATCAGAGGAGATGTGCTCCATTGCTTTAATCATGGGTTTCCTCCTCTGGACTTGCTCCAACAGGTCCATGTCCTTCCTGTGCTGGGGACCCCAGAGCTGGATGCAGTGTTCCAGGTGGGGTCTCACCAGAACACAGTAGAGGAGCAGAATCTCCTCCCTCACCCTGGTGGACATGCTGCTTTTGATGCAGCCCAGGACACGTTTGGCTTTCTGGGCTGCAAGGGCACATGACCAAGACATGCCCAAACATCAGGAAGTGAAAATAATGGTAACTTCAGACTAAATACAATGTTTAATTATTGGCATTACAAAAGGTAAAGGAACGCACAGCAATGAAAGTGAAAACTTCATCAAGCCAATTTGGAATATAGTAAGGTCTCTATCCAGACCATTTGCATTCCCTTGTCTGTTTTAGAGATTAAAGGCCACAAGCATGTCTCAGAAGTTCATGTAAGTACAAGTATCACTCTAAACATTCCAAGTTAAAGATGTGCACTTAATTTTTCGTATGACCTGGAAAACACAGACTACCACATTAGTGTAGATACAGTAAGAGAACCCACACAACTTGATCTTTTCACAATCATACTGTATATTGATGCCAATATGACTTGGCAACTACTACCATATGCTTTTCTGACAGAATGCATTTTGGATTATACAGTGCAGGCAGCTTACTGTGCTTCTACCAATTCTTTGACAGCATGAGACGTATCCACTTTGCCACTGCTTTTTTACTCATACCCCATATTCCTTTTTGCAACCATTTATGGTGCACAAACTCCTATGCCCAGCAAACAGTCTTCTTCGTCTTCCCAAACTAGGTCTCATTACCCATTCATCTACCACATCACTGACTCAAGTCTCATCTGTAGGCAGATTGCCAATTCAGACACTAAAAGCCATTCATACTACACAAAAAAATATAAAGTGTTTTAGCCTGTGATTTAACCATCAAAAGGTATCCAATTATGTACCAGACCTCACTCCAAGTTACTGTTCAGTTCTAACAGTGTCATCTCCTAATCATCTAAGTTCAGTATTAAAATAAAAAATCGACAATGAAAAAAATGTAGTTTTGCATTAAACCTGCAGCTGGAAGTTCCACAGCTATCCACAAGTCACTTAACTAAACACAGCAAAACACAGAGAAGCTGAGGTGTACTTCAGTAGCCAGGAGCTATGATGTCTGTTTAGACTTTTTTTTTTAAAGGAACCTGTTTCAGAGCTGGACAATAATTTGTAATGGCAAGGACATCTGGATTTCATAGAGTCCAGCCACCAGTCAAAGAAAGTCCAACCAGAAGATGCTGCTCAGGGCCATGGCCAGATGAGTTTTGAATACCCCCTCATGAATTTCTGACTCAGGACATCAGAGTAAGGGAACACTGAAATCCCAGATGGTCACAATCAGTGCACAGGGTCTAGTTGGAGGCCTGTCACTAGTGGCGTTCCCCAAGGTACAACACTGGTCCCAGTACTGTTTAATCAGCAAGTTCCACCCGAACACAAGGAAGAACTTCTTTACTGCATGGGTGTCTGAGCACTGAAGCAGATTGGCCAGAGATGCTGCAGAGTCTCCCTCACGGGAGATACTCAAAAACCATCCGGACACAATCCTGTGCCATGTGCCCTGGGATGACCCTGCTTGAGCAGGAAGGTTGGACCAGATGAGCCACTGTGGTCCCTTCCAACCTGACCCAATCTGTCATTCTGCAAATACCTCCAACAACAGAGATTCCACAACTTCTCTGGGCAACTGTGCTTTGATCATAAACAAGTATTTTTATAAATGGAAGCTTTAAAATCCAGTTCAGAACACTGTTTAATTGCTTTAGTTCTAAAAAAGCAAAATGTTAAGGCTTCAATGTCAAGAGCCATAACAGCACAAAATCAATCTGGAGCTAGCAAAAGATACAACCATTTGTGTGTTTGCATTGCTTGAACCAGAGCTGTCAGAAAGCAAAACAAGAAACAGGTTGG